CACTTATCGGTGTCAGAACTCATTACTGTTTCAGCTGTAAACCATGAAGCCATCCTTCATTGTCTAGCCTGACAGAGAAAGGGCTAATTGAAATCTGTTCTTTAAAGCGTTTAGAAATAAACTTTCGCCAGATATACACTAAGAAAAAAGAGAGGACTGATACAAAAGATGCAGCTGTCTTCTACGAAAACTCAACAGAAAGGTTGAGAAGAGTGGTTCCGCGGTCTACTAGATTTCGCTGTCTTATATTACCGAATCCTTTATGGCTTGATGTTCCGCAAATCAAGAACTTAGAAAGTAACTCGTATGAGTTTAGTTTGGAAAAGTAGGTAATCCAAAATGTTGTCACCACTTCAAAAGCTTATCTTCGTTTGCATTATGCCCTCTTCCCAAAACAGCTATAGCGATAACAGCAAGGTTGATACATGCGGAAAGCAGGACCTTCAAAAGACGCTTTCGCTATCTTGTTCTTTTTTTTTTCTAAAAAACGAGTTGCTGTTAAGATATTCATTCATCCTACCTGCTTTCCAACAGCTTGTTGGACTAAACAAATCGGCGATGCATATGAAAGTCTCATGGACTCTTCAAATCCATTCTTCAAGCGTTGACTTCCCAACGTATGGGACCATGTATGTATGCCCAATGATGCGCAGTGTAGAAGACGTGGGAAGGTCGACGAATTTAATAAGTCACGATCTAAGTAGTCCTGGGCAGAGACCTTCGTCAACCCGGTTAGAAAGGTAGTATTCCGGAAAAATGCACGTCGTAATTTTAAATTCCACCTCAGTCCCAGACCTTCCCCAGTACTTCTAATCGGGAAGGAGAGTTCTTCAAAAGGTATCGAAGTTTGAATCAAGTTTGAACCATTTTATTAATCGACAAAACTAGAAAAAGCTGACTAAAGTTTGGAAAGCCACTTTTACATCAAAATGTTGCACAGAATTAATTGAACAGATGGCTTAACAGATCGGTTTCCCTTTTTTAGCGTAATCTCAGTAAACACCGGATAGAAAATCTAGAAAAACTTATTTACACCACAAATTTTCCATCTTAAGTCAGTTTTTAAATTAGAGAGCCACTCGCCCACTAGACCTTTTCTTTCATCAATGCAGATCTCCACACTTGCTAATAAACTGTAGCCAATAAGTGATATCACGCACTGCACGTCATGCATATGACACGTAATCAGGAGAAATACCTAGACGTGTTGAAAGCCAAACTCAAAAAAAAAATTTTTTTTATTTTTTTTAATGAGAAAACGCTCAAAAAATTATTTGTCTTCGTAGAATGTGCCCTCACTACCTCTCACGGCAATTTTAACAGAAGCAGGAAGTAGAAAACCCAGAATTCTCTACTTCTATCCTCAAAAGCATTAAAGAGAGAAATAACGAACATTTTTGAGACGTGAAATAGGAGCAACTTAATTCCTATACAACGGAGAAGTTAAATAAGCACAGAAACAAAAATGGCATAAGATTTGGTTGGAAACGTAAGTAGATGGATAGTTCTGAAACTGCAATGTGCATATGTACCATTAGTGCAGGTCGGCCAGAAATGAATGATGGGAGAACCATATTAAAACAACGAGTATCCCAGTCTCGCAAATGCCTTCAGCAAATAATAGATAGGTCAATAACATATTGCTCTGGAGCCTTGCCAAAAAAGAAGAATTTTCCTCGTAGGAATCAAAAGCATAATTTCAAAGCCAATTCGACTGTGGAATAAAAAATTTTCGGATATTTTGTGTGTTTTGAGAAATTGTTCCTTTATGGCTGGAAGTTAGTGAATATAGTTATTTTAGTTGCTTCTACTTTTACTTTGTATTCATCTTTTGTCTATTTGTCTTCAGCATCTAGTTCCTTTAACTTTCACCTTTTGTACTATTTCTCTTCGATACCACGATGTTTTTTTGAATATTGGATTTGGGCACCTCCATTTTTCATTACAGGTTGAAGGCTACGCTCTTCTTTTTACTGCCATCTTTGTGCAGAAGACAATGTCTGGTCCAGGAGGTTACGGAGGTTCTCAAAATCAACAGGTGACTACACAGAGTTCGTTATTTGACATGCTGTTATCAGTCTAGCATTCATCTAACCTTTGAATTTGCATGACTTACAAGTTTGCTGCACCTTTAATTATGCGTATGACTTATCATATGTCTTATGTTTACTATATACCTGACCATTCTTTGTTTGATAGTGTAATTAGAGTATTTAAGCAAAAATGAACATCTTTTTGCAGATGTATGGGCATCAGACTATGCAGCGTAACACCAGTGGTGGCCAACTAAGCAGTATGATGCCTCATCCAGGAATGATGATGACTTCTTCGCAGGCACAAATGATGAACCAAGTTCTCCTTAGCTTACCATTTTTTTTTAATGAAATTGCTGTTTTATGTTATTTTATTTATTGAATAGGTCGACCTCAAAGGCTTTCACACTTAATCTGTCTGCATCTAGCACACCTTTTAGTCTTCTCGATTATTTAGCAATCTGGGATCATGGTGTCCCAAGCAGGTTACACGCAAAATATGGGGCAACAGATGACACAGATGATGCCAAACATGGGCTCACAGTCTCATATGGGACAGACGATGGGTCAGAGCATGATGCAACAGCCTCCACATATGGGGCAGCCACAGCCTATGCCGCCTACATCTCACATGAACGTTCAGTTATCACAACAGCAACCTCAAGTAGTTGCCACTCAGCAACATATGTCATATCAGCAGGTCTATATGCAGCATCAGGTAAACCATCAGTAAATTATTATTTTTGGAACTTTTTTTTTTCTGAATGTCGAATTTTAAGTTTCATTTTATTATTTTAAAGTCTTTTACTGCTAGATTTCTTCGTGGATTTTAGTTATAGAAAAACTTCTGTTGTTGCCAACTTTGTGCACAGTTATGAAGTCCGCTACGAAAATAATTTTTTTTTTTTTTTTT